AAAATTTGACATGAGACTTTTATCTTAGGTGGTAAGATGTAACCAATAAAAGATATTGACATTTTTAAAGTCTTATATAATAATAGTGGGCTTATTTTAAAATATTTTCTATGCATATGATTTATTAATTGCCTTTTCAGTGACTTTGCTAGAATACTAAACAAACATATTAATAAAGAGCGCGTAGAGTTATCTATATCTATTTAATGAATCACTGTACAATTTTAAATCCTATAAAACAAGTAAATTGTATTTATGTAGTCTACTTGGTTAAGAATCTTTGTTTTATAGAGGTATTTATTTACTTTAATAAAAATCCCTATTATTATTAAAAATTTAAATCTTCACGGAATATTGATTTTGACGATATATTTTTTTACTTATAATGTTATTAACAATGTTTAACAACTCAAGTTTTCTACTTTAAAGTTAACGAACATAATGAAATACATATTAAATTATACGAACATTACAAACAATAAAATTTTATTATTATGTATATAGAATTTTCTCTAAAATAAAAAAACTCAAAATAAAAATTCATCACAAAGATCTTTCGTCAACAAATTATTTCTTATTTTATTCGAACATTTTTTTTCATCATTAAATCTTTTTTCAAAAAAAATAAATATATTTTTTTACTTATATTCTTTATAAAAATAAAACAAAAAAAATTAAAAAATAACTTGTTTTTTTTTTTAAAATTTATCTAATGCTTGTATGGCTAACTACATATTTTCCATATAACTAGGTATTATCATTCGCAAAAAAGGTTAATAACTCCTTTTATTAAGAAGAATACCAGACAATTAAAAGACATGTATACAGATATACATGATGAAACGTATAACTGTTTTTTGTAAGCACAAACTGAAAAGTATTTAAAAAGAAAATATTGCCCTCTTAAATGTAATAGAGGTATGTTCATAAAATATGAATGATTTAGTGACAAATTTATATAAAAAAAAATTTTCATTTTCATTAAAAAAAAAATAATTTTTCTTATTTTCTCTTTTCGAGTAATATATTGTAATAATTTTTATATAGTGTTTTATATAAAACTATTGAGAGAAGTAATAAAAAATATGAGATATAAAAATAAATGCCTTTATTGTGAATACACAATTATGTAAAAGATGTATGGTTATCTACCTAATCGTATTATAAATAAAATAAGTGGGAATCTCTCTACATACTCCTTATTAATTTGATTATTCAAAATACCATAAATGCCTTTAAACGGTAAATTAATAAATTACCCATCAACCCCTTATTATAATATTTTGTTATTATATAAAATGTTATAAAGGACATTGATATTTTTTATTGATTAATATTCTAGTGATAAATAAAATATTAAGATATTTCATTAAAAAACTGGAAAATTTATATGAAATATTCTATTTTATGCCATGTAATTATATAAAAATTATATATTGTTTAAAAAAAGTACCTTTAGAATTAATAAAATTAAGAAAGACCACTCTATATTTTCCTTATTTATTTGTTCAACACTTGACAGAAACCTCAAACAACTAATTAATATTTAGTAAATGTATTTACTTAATATCTTTTTATGTTTAAAGTTATTTTCATCCATATTCATTTAACAGATATATTACAATTATATTTTTATTTATTTATTTATTTATTTAAATAAGTTTTTTTTAAAATATATTGACTGTTGAATGATAATTTATTGTAGTCTTTTAATTTACGGACATTAAAAATATATTTAAATCGAAAAAAAAAAAATTTTATAATTTATAAATCAAAATATTTTAATGATAAAATTTAATCATATTGTGAAACTATATTAATAAAAAATTAAAATATAAAAGAAAATTTATTTCAAATTAATTGCTTAAAATTATTATTAGCCTTTTCTATAATAAAAATCAGTAGTTTTATGAAAAATAAGCAATTGACCGTTTGCAAACTCTAGATAAAAAAAAAAAAAAAGAAAAAAATTTGTTAATTTATTTTAATTTTTGAGGTAGAATTTTTTCTTAAGAATGAATTTTAAGATTTTTTAGAAAAAATTTTATACCACCAAAAGTAAAATTTCATTGTTAACATCTATGTATAGCTTAATCTTGTGTTTTAATATTTGATTATTGTTAATTTAAAATAAATGTACTTTTACTAATAAACATTATACATAACATTATAATTAAAAAATTTTTACTTAATAATTTATAAATAATAAGGATTTAAATTTTTAACAAAAATAAAGGATTTTTACTAAAGTAAATAAATGTCTCTTAATAACAGTGAATGCTTAATGAAGTAGACTACATAAATACAGTTTACCGATTTATAGATTTAAAATTATATTTAAATTAAACTAGTAGAAGTAACTCTATATGCTCCTTATTAATTTTCTTGTTCATTACTCTAGTAAAATTATTGAAAATACAATTAATAAATCAATTATATAATGTAAAAATAATTTAATGTAATTTATTTTATAAAATTTAATATTTTGACATAAAAGATTATAAAATAATTTACATATTAAATATTGTAATCTTATTAAAACATTTTTTTAAATAATCTTCAATTTTTTTAATATGTTTAAGTTTAATATTACTTCGTTAACAAAAAGTATATTCATATACTTATGCATCAGTCTGGTATAAAAAAGACTATATGCCATAAACTTGTATAATCAAAAATAATAAAACAAAGGACATTCTAAATTTGTGAGTCTTACAAAAGGGGACATAAATCATTTTATATGTATATTTGTATTTTTTTTTTTTTTTGGTTTAAAATATTTTTTAATTTTGTTTTAATAAAAAAATAATCTATTATAAAAGAACCATTTTTTTTTTTTATTTATTTTGAAGATTTTTATTTTATTATTTAAGAAAAGAAAGTGTTAATAATCAATACGTGAAATATTTATTTATTAATTGTATATTCATTGACTTTACTAGTATTCAGTAAGGAAATTAATAAAGAGCATGTGGAAATAACTGTACTTATTTTATTTTAAATAAGATCAATTATTATATAAATTATTTATTTTTGTTAATATTAAATAATAATTTTATTATTTACTAAGTCATTTTACACAATGAAATATAAGTATAATATTTTATGTTATTAATTTTTCGTAAAAATAAAAATACAATCCACAACATCAAAAAAAAGTAAAATATGTTTTTTTAATGATTTTAAGTATACCATAAAAAAAAAAAAAGAAATAATATGTCTATTTTTAGTGTATGTATTTAGATTACACATTTTCCTAATATACTTAGCATGTAAAAACAAAAGTATATATTCATTTATTTAAATATCATTTAAAATAAGTCGATAATACCATTTATGGGTCAAATACATAAATGTAAATCGAAATACTTAATAAAATACATAATAGAAAATGCTTTTGTTAAACTTATAATACTTGTATCTACATAGAGTTTTATTACTAGTTCTGTAAGTACTGTATTAAGATGTTTTTTATTAATTAAGTACAAAATCACTTTAAAATGTACGATTCTTAATAAAATATAATTTAATAATAAAAATGAATATATATATATATCTACAACACTTTATTAATATGTTTGTTGATCATTTTAATAAAGTTTTTGTAGACAATATACCATTACTAAAATTATAATTATAATAATTTGAAAAGTTATTTACACGTTGAGATTTTGAGTAAATAAAAAAACAAGTTATAAAAATACGTTAAAATATAAAAATTTATTTCTATTATGCAAAAAATTAATCAATGAAAATATACAAACTGCAAAAATAGTAATAAATAAGAGGTTATGTGCATATATATGTAATGAAATAAGGGAAAAAAGAAAATTAGTGCTACATGTTAAATATAAAAAAATTTTAATAGTAAACTAATTTCAAAAAAAAAAAAATAAACTATAAATAATAAGTAAAAATTATTCAAAATTTATAAAAAGAAAAAACTAATCAATTATATAGAAGTAAAAAAATTTTATAGGTGTCCCTACGAAGTTAACGAAATTTAATGTAAATTAATAATACTAATAAAAAAAAACCAAATATTTATTAAAAAATTAAAAATGCAATAATGTGGGCAAAAGAAAAGATCTTAAATATTAAAATTGCTTATTAAAATGTTTTTAATAAGTCAAAATGGACTATTTCTTCTTTAATTAAAGATTTATTGTAACATTTTATAATATATTTAATTATTAAGGAAACAAAATGTTTGTGATAAATGACTAATTTTATACATGTTACTCCTAAAAAAAAAAACCATGGTAAATATATAAAATAAAATTATCTTAATTTTGTATTTCCTATAAGAATTATTCATTTTTATATTGTAAAAACAAGTTCTCATATATAAAAAGACCAAAAAATTAAAAAATATTAGAAAAATAATATCTTAAAGGAAAACTAAAAAATAAATGTAAATGTAATATTATTAAAGGAAAAATTAACTCTACAAAGAAAATACAGAAAAATGACAATAATTAAAAAAATAATAAAATAGATAAAAAAATATAAGACAGAAGTCATAAAAGAGAGTAAAAAATATAAAAAAATAAAAAAGATATTGACAGAAGATATGAAAAGATATGTTTTCATTTACAGTACGGATATATAGAAAAGTACAAAAATTAAATGTTTTTTAGTGTTATCTTATATTATGACTTTATAAAATAAATGCCATAATACATTAACTTAAGCAGAAAAAATTTTTTAAATCATGTTTCAATACATATTGAAACCATATATATTTTTATTAATTCATTTTCTATATTTCTTTGAATGATTAATTAATCTATTTTATAATTTTATATATTTTAATTTTTTTTTTTTCTTAATTTTGTATTATTGCTAAATTTTTACTTTTTTAATTCATTTTATTTTTATATATCATACAATAAATTAATTTTGGCATTTTTTTTTCGTAAATTAAAAATTGCCGTCACCTTTTTTCTTTTTTTATCTAACATATACTAAATAGTGAATTACTTCTACTTTGTTCATTCTTAATCTTTTTCATAGCATGTACTTTTCTTTTCATTTAAGAACTTTTCACTTTCTTCTAAATCTTCAAAAGATGAAGGACTATCTATGTACATAAAATCACAATTTCCTGACAATATTCCAATATCTTGAGTATCAAATATTTGTATATCATCTCTATTATTTTTATCACTCTCTTTTTTACTAAGTTGTTTGGAAGTAATTCTAGCTGTAATTGCCTCTTGATATAAACCCTCATTCAATGTAGCTATATAAGCTCTTTGAAATGCTTTTAATAAAGCATCAGTTGTAATTTTATTTACTTGTCCCCTAATAAAGAGAGCAATATAATTTTCAAGTACAGAATAGAATCTATCAAACAAACGAATATAACTTCTAATTAAGAATACAACGTTATCATAAAAAGCATACCATCTCATTAAGGCAAACAAAAACATAGAAGTACATAAACTATGGAAAACGGCTACATTTACCTGTACATCAATATAAAAAACAGAGGGTTTTTCTTTAGGTGTTTCGGGTAAGGAATGCTTTACTTGTTCCGCAAGTTCTCCAGGTAAAGTACGGGGAAAGTATAAAACATTTCTAAAAAGTATATTACCTGCAAAAAATACGCTCAACAATCCTAAGGGATATAATATATTTGGCCACATAAACTTATCAAAGTAATTGTTTACTCTTTGGCCTAGAGCTTCCATTCTAACATCCCAAAGTTTCATAATAAAAGCACCTATAACTATTCCTGTATATTTTCTATCTATAAATTGTGCCATTTTCTTGTAAGAATAATAATTAGAACTAGATACTGCTTGATATTCACATAAAAGACTTAAGTTATTTAAATTTAATAACGTAAAAATATCAGAACATAATTTATACATGTTAGCTAGAATAAAAGTTTTCCCATATTTTAATTGGGTTATTGGTTTTTTTATATATAAGGGTAAAAAAGTATTTATTAAATTATCCATCATACTACCATAATATGCATAAGCAAATTTTAAATAAGGTTCTTCATCTACTGTCAAACCAATCATTTCACTAGAACCATATAATCTGTCAAGTTTATCTATGTCATTGCTTAATTTTATAGTAAATAACATCTGGAATACCGAAAATAAAGTTTTAGAAAAAAATCTAGATGCCATAGAAGAATTTATTTCTTCTTCTCTATCCTTTCTATTTAATTTATAATAATCTTTTCTTACGTTAAAAAAAAATATATTATTTATACTCTATAAAAAAAATATATACATGTTAAATAAAGAGAATATTTTTTTATGTGAGAAAAAATTATATGTATTATATATATATATATTTATATTACTATGTCATCATTTCTCCTGTGTGAGTGAAAACTACTTTCAATTTTTCTAAAAAGCAAATAAACTGTCTGTATAAAAGACATATCAGAAAAAATATTTTTGTTAACCATATAAAGTGGATATAATTCATCAACTATCTCCTTTAAGTAATTTTTATTTACTGTATATCCATATACAAGACCAAACTTATGGTAATTCATTGAATTTCCCCAGAAAGAATGAATATAATAAAAACTTCTAAGTTTTCTCCTTTTTTTGTCAGTATAAAATGAAAAATTTCTTTTTAAATCAATTATATCCGCAGTGAATAGTATATCCTTGTAATTCTCTAAATATAATTCATATGAATCTCTCATTAACATTATTTTATTATTTATATTATAAGTTTTAAAATATTTAAACAAATTTTTTATATGCCTTTGTTCAAAATACACTTCATATGATGCTTCAATTATCTTTTTCAAATGAGATGTCCATTTACTATATTTAGGTAATACAAATTCTCCTCTTTGCATTTTTTCAGCCATTTCAACTCTTGTACTTTCTTCTTCATAATTTATAAAGGAATATCCAGTTAAGTAATCAAAAAACCAAGTTTTAAATTTTTGCTCAATTAACATAGTCAAACCAAAAGGATGTTGTTGTTTAAGTGGACTTTCATTAAGGTAATAAAAAAAATCTAATTGTAAAAATGAATTTACATGTATATAAAATTTTATGCACTTTTTCATTTTTTCTATCGTATGACTACTTAATAAATTTTCCAATTCTATAAATGAAAAAATAAGAAGTAAATATATTAAAAAAAAATAATAAAGAAAAAGTAATGAATATAATAAATCTTATTCTTCATTTTTTTTTTTATATTTCTCTTACTCTCTAATAAATTTACAGACTTCTTTTTTCTTATATATATTGAATAATATTTTTTTAAAGGTGACGGATACCAATAACTTGTTAAAACGGTTCTATTGAATTTATCTTCATCTTTTAAGCTTGTATACATGGCATGTACTATGCCCTTACGAGCAACACCTATAAAATATATATGTTATTTAAAAGTTCAATTAAAAAGGAATATCAATCTATTATTAATTTTTTTTTTTTTTTACATAGGTACAAAATTTTACGTAACTTTAAATATATATCATGTACTTATTAATAACATGAATATGTTATGTTATAAAAAAATTTATTATACTTTTTTTCTTTAATTACCTTCATATGAGACTAGTCTAAATAATAACAAAAACGTGAACCATTCTGCATCATGCATTAAAAAATTAGCATAATCCTCATAAATATTCATATCTTTTATTAATGAACTTATATTATTTATTTGTAAAACTTCAGTGACGTAACTATAAAATTTTTGTAGCATTGTTATACCATCTTGAGTTTGACCTATTTTATACATTAAAAGATTAAATAAAAAAATTTTGGAAAAAAAAAAAGTATGTTTATATTTAATTATTTTGAAGAATTACCATTTATATAGAAAAGTGTCCCTTCGCACATATTACATATTTGTGAATCATAATTTCTAACATTTAAGATTAAATCAGTACTATAAACTAATGATCTATATTTACTACCTAGGTGACATGTTTCAACACCTATAATGCAAAAGAGATTTGTTTTATTATTTCATCAATTAAAATGTTTGATGATATTGTTAAGAATCTATTTTAAATATAATTTTTTTTATATTAAGCATAATTCATATTAATATTTTCATCTATTAAATTTACATTCTAAAAGATTTTCATAAAGTTTTGTCAAGTCATGTTTTTCATCAAATGAAAGCTGAATAACTAAAAAATAATTAAAAAATATAAAAAAAAGAATAAGCAAGTTAATACAAAATGATTTATTTTTTTTTTTTTTACTATTATAATATCCTGGTAGGTAAATTGAACTCACATATGCTTTACTTTCCCCATCTAATAATATTTAACAAAATAAAATGTAGAAAAAGTAAATATGAAAAAAATAAAATAAAAATAAAAATTATAATGAAAATAATAAATAAATTAGCAAATATATATGTAAATGATAAAAATATTCTTATTGAAATATTATTACTTAAAATTCCTATAAGGTTTAAAAGATGTACATACAAAATATTATTTTTATTATAATAACTATAATATTTTATAAAATGGTGAAAATGTATATATATATTGAATGCGTCTAGTCCTTTGGGTTCAGAATAAATGCTTTCTAAAAATTCATTTGTATCATCTTCTGTTGATATTTTCGTAAATTCACTTTTAAATTTTTCACTCTCATATATATTGCAATTCTCTTCATTGTTACACATAAACTCAAAAAATTTTTTTTTTACATGAATATTCTCCAATAAAACTTGCATATTTAAATTTAGTTGGTTAGCATTAGTATATAATTCCATCTGATATTTATTAATATGATGAATTAAAAACTCTAATACTTCACATTCTTCTAACAATGATGTTCTTTTACTTTTTAAATATTGTTTTCTTCTTTTCATATTTGCTTCATAATTACCACTTCCATCACAAATTAAATCTAATACTTTAAATCTATCCGACATATTAAATTGTAAAATGTTTTGCCAACTATAAAACTTTACACTTCCTAATTCAAAATACTTATGATAATGTTTAAGGGCTAACCTTAAAACTAAAAAATGTCCTAAAACTATGGAAAAAAAAAAAAACATATTAACATTTATATAAAATATATAATTTATAAAATATTGGCACAAATATATAAATTAATAATACCTATAAAATGGGAACCAATCAAATTAAATATCCCCATGTTATAAAAATCCGACACCCTATTCAATTTTTTCATAGAATTTATATCTGAATTAGTTGTAAAAAATAAATCATCGCTTTCAAGTGCATCTGATTCACTATGAATTGGCATATTTGTAAACAATTTTTTTTTAATATTTTTATGAATTAATTTTTTCATTTTAAGTAGCCACATTTTATACCTCGTTTGATAAATTAAAGACTCACTGTGTCTACTGGAATTTTGAAAAAATAAATTATCTAATGCTATTAAAGATTCTTTCATATTATTTGTCTGTCTATAAAAATCCATTGGTACCAACATATATTTTATTATTTTTAAAGATTTCACAATTAAATTTTTTCTTTTAATTAAATCAGAGTATTTAGAATCATAAGATGCTATTAATTGTTCCCTTGTAATATATTCAAATTTTACTATATCTTCAGCATTGCACTTGGGAGTAGGTAAAATGTAATTATCCTCTTTATTATTATTTATAATTCTAACTACTTTAAATTTAGACATATTTAGGCTTGCTTCTCCCTCTGGTTTTAATAAGGGTAGTTTTAATTCGTCCTTTTCTAAAGAATGTAATATTATTCCCTCTAGATTTAATAAATTATAATATAATTCATCATTGCCAATTATATTTATTAATTCATTTACATTTCTTTCTTTGTAAATGCAATATACATTTTGTTGTAAGATAAAAAATAAAAAGTATATAAAAGTTTGTTCAATAAACAATAATATTATTTTACAAAATTCCTTCATTATTAAATATTAATTAAAAATATTATGTTTTAATATATTTTCTTACGTAAAAAAAAAAAAAATATATAGATTATTTCTTTATAAAAAAATGAAAAATACAAATATTTTTTTAAAAAAGAAAATTCGTTATTCATTTCATATATATAAATATATACATATAAATTTAATTATCGCATGAAACAATAATAAAATGTATATAAAATTATTCAATACCTATGTATAATGCTTATTCTTTCTTATATTCTTTTATTCTTTTTTTCCATTTATTTAATTGTCTTAAATAATTTTCTTAATTATAATTTTATTTTTTCTAAGTAATAATTTTATCTAATTTCAAATTTAATAATAATTCATTTTATATTTTATGTAACTTATATTAATTTTTTTTAGTTAATTTTTACAGTATTTCATCTTGAAGTATAATATATATGGTGCATGTAAGTAATTGAACAGTTTTTTTGTAAAATAAAATATGGAGTTTTACTAAAAAGGTATAAGTTGTTTTGGTTAATTTTTATTAAAATATATTTTAAAATATTATCTTAATATTATCAAGTATTTAATTCCAAAAAATTATTTTATTTTAATATATAAATAATATGTATTTTTTTTTTTTAAAAATTAAAAATATAATCTAAGGAATTACATCATTTATTCATTGAAAATAAAAAATATAATGCAAACATATTTATATATATGATACTTCCTTTTTTATTTATGCTTGTAAAAATTAGCAAGAATGTGTGCATGCACATATTTGAATTGAAAAATTTAAAATAAAAAACATAATCTAATTCACTATTAATAAATAAATTTTTTTAAAAAATAAAATAAAATTTAAAGTGTTGTTAATACCATATTATTATCAATTAAAATAAATACTAACCTCCTAGAACAAAAAAATAAAGGAAACAAATTTAAATAATTTAAATAATGTTATAAAATATATTTTGTCTTAATTCGCACACTATCAATGAAGTTATTGATATATATATTTATATTTATTTTTCTAGAAAAAATTTTAATTTATTAAAACCTTTATTATTTATATATATTTTCCTTCTTTTTATCATTTAAAATTTCTTTTTATTGTACATTCTTTTTCTACTTTATATTTTTCATTTTGCGCTTTTAGGTGTTCTTAATATTGTTTTTTTGCTATTTTTTATATTTATTATCTTTGTCTTCTCGTTCATTTTCATATTTAAATTTTCAATTGTAAGAAATATTTTTTACCTATAATGCTTATTCAAAACGAATACTACAAACATATATAAAAAACAATAAAAATAAAAATATATATTAATGATAAGGAAGTTAATACTTGTGGGTTTATATTTTTCGTAAATACGAAAAAATACATATAAAAATAATTTTCTTATGCATATACTTGCGCAAAGATTTTTTTTTAAATTATTATATTTTGTTCCGGTATTAATAATTTAAAAAAAAAACAATTATCTATTTAATCAACAAAAATTTTACTTAATATTTACTATATGTTAAATACATTTTTATGGGATTTATTAAACACTATATTTATTATGTTTTCCCCTATTTACAATGTAATAAAATCTTTTATTTTAGTAAATTTCCATCATAATTGAATTATACATTTGTATTCTTATCTCACACTATTATATATTTATGTTCAATTTTTATAGGCAACATAACCTTTTTAATAAGATATTTATAAATTAACATTTATTTCCTTCATTTTTTGAAATTTCAAGTTTCTATATATATTATATTATACTTGTTTTTCTAATTACAATTTTTAATTATCTATTTATATTCTATAATTACTAAATCCCATAAAAAAAAATACAATTATAAAAAATAATTATTAAAAGATATGTATGTATACAAATAATGAATTAAAAAAATGTGATATGAAGTTTATAAATATGAAACAAATTTACTTTTCTAAGATTTTTAATTCTTTTCATGCAATTTGAGTTTTCTTTTTGTGAATTACATTGTGTTTTATAACATAAAAAAAAAAAAAAAAAAAATTTAAATGTTTATTTTTAATTTCATAAAAAAAAAAAAAAAGATGCATTTATAGCTAATAAAAAATACTATTAAGCTTTTTAATATTCAAATTGACCATGTTAAGTAAAAAATAAATTGCACACACATGTTATTTAAGAAAATTTCTTTGAATTATATATAAAAACACTATTGTAATTTATGTATATTAAAAAAAAAAATGTATATATTTTTTTTTTTTTTTATCATTTTTATTTTTTTATTTAACTTTATTTTGATAATTATTTTGATTTTTCGTATGATAATTTTTTTTTTAATTTTTATAATAAATGAAAATTAATTTTGATAAAAGATGATATAAATATATTTTAATATAAGTTATGAAATTCAAATAAATGGCTTTGTTAAACTATATAAATATCTCATAAAGTAGCAAATGTTATAAGAATAAAAAAAATATTGAATTAAATTTTAAAGATGGTAAATACCACACGAAATAAAGTATATATTTAATGTTATATAATGCAATTATATAAACCTTAAACAAAATCATTTCTACAATAAACAAAATTAGTATAATTACATTATTTTTATTAATTTTTCTCTTTAATATTATACAAGACTTAATAGGCATATTAATAAACTGATTTAATATCATTTAAATATAAAATAAATCATCGTATTTTAAATTGTTGTTAATACAAATTATTAATGAATTTTAATTTCTTTAATCATAAGTTAATATTGGTCTATATGTACTTACTAATTATAAACCTTTTCAATTACCAAAATATTAAAAAATATTGTAGTAAAAACGTATTGAAACTTACAAAAACTTACGTATAAGTTAAAACAGTAAGTTAAAAAATTAAGAGTCCATTTATTAAATAAAATTTTATATTTTTAATATCTTAATAAATATATTATTCCAATAAAATGTAAAATTATCGTGCAGTATATAAATGTAGACTTGTTATTTGATATTAAAAAATATTTATACCTTGTAATATAGCAAGAAAGATAAAATGCCATTATGTAATATAACCAATAGAAAAGGAAATATACATATATAATAAAAATTAAAAAAAAAAATATAAAAATAAAATTTTTATTGATAAATACTTCACTAATTCTAAATTTTACTTTACAAAATATTAAAAAAATGGGTCTAATGTATATAAATATTTTTCTACTTTATATATTGAAATTTATTTCTTTGTTTGAAATTATATACATGTATCTCTTATATGACATGGTTCATGCGAAACTTTTTTAGGATAAAATAATATGTTTCATTTAAATTTCGTAATTAATTTTATATGTGTTATTTATATGTTAGGGAATAATTAGTTGAATAGAAAAGTCATAACTTTATTTTATTCTTTAGAAATCAACCACATACTATGGAAATACTTAGGATTGTTTTTTTTTATTTTAAATATAATTATAAATAACTATATCTTTAACTTTATTTCATTTAGTATATTTCTTTTATTTTTTCGTCAGTATAAATAATATCATGAAATTTATGTGAAAAAATGTAAATAATTCACATCATTTATGTTTTTCTTTTTGTATTTTAAATTTATTATATTCACCTATGTATGCTCAGAAGAGTATTTATATACCTCACAAAAGTGAAAAATTTAGATAATTCTACAAATTTTGAGTAAATTAAGAAATAATATGAATTTTTTTTTTTATCTCATCAAATTATTTATTATTAAGGGATATCGTTAATCCTTTGTAAAATTATAGCATATTTTAAATAAAATATAAGTTAACTATGCATGCTTTATGTTTTCAAAAAATACTTATAATCGTAGGTAGTAAAAGGTATTAATCTTTTTAAGAATAAAAATTCATAGTTGTATAGAAAATACATAGCATTACAATCAATAGATAAAAAAAAAAACACATTTCATTTTTTTTTATTTCTTTTTATAAATTTAAAAAGTTATAAAAAAAAAATGAAATATGTTTTTTTTTTTTTTTGAATGAGAAATTGTTAATTTTTGGACAATTTTGTATAAAATTTTTTTTTTTAAATTTTATACTTAGGATAATAAAATTTTCATGGTTAAAATATTTACATAATTTAAACGTGCATTTTAACAACTTATTTTTATTAACTTAAAAGCAGTGGTTTGAAAATGCTAAACATTAATCATAACAATCTATATAAAATGTATTTAATTAAAAATCGATAATTAATAAGGACTTATTTTTAATAAAAATGAAGGTTTTTGTTAAAGTAAATGAATACCTCCTAAAAATAATAAATTCTCAATGAAGTATACTACATAAATACAATTTCCTAGTATATAGCATTTAAAACTATGCTTAAAGTTATTAATCTAGTAGAAGCAACTATAAGTGCCTTTTATTAATCCGCTTGTTCAATACTCCAACAAAGTCATTGATCAGACAATTTATAAATCACAACCTCAAACAATTACTTTTAAGTTAATATAAATAATTATTAAAACACAAATTTAAATTATGTAAATGTTGTAAACACGAAAATTTTATTATTGCAAGTATAAAATTTTCTTTTTAAGATATCAGACAAAATTAACTTGTAGGGAAATGTTTTTATTGGCAACTGTTTTCTAGAAATCTCAACAATTAAAAAAAAGTAAAATATATATATTTTTTTTTATTTATTTATTGTACGAATGTCTAACGGTATATTTTTCAGGTAGCTATTAAATTTTTATTCTCAAAAAGTTTAATAATGCCTTTTATTAACCATCTGTGTAATTTAATTGTATAAAATTTACTTATAACAAAAGTATTTGTTTACAATTAAGTAAAATAATAGATACCACTGTACATACTCTTTATTAATTCGTTTGTTTAATTCCAAACCAAAAAATTTGAATGAACATTTGATAAATCACTAACGCAATATACTTATATTATTTTTCATCAAAAAATGTCTTGTAAGTAATAAAATTTCTGTTATTTTGTTACCAGTTATTCATTAATTAAATCTTAAAAATAGA